ACAGTTTTGTCATGGGTGCACGACCCACGTAACTAGATTTATTTCCGGGCCCCACGCAGTTACAGGTGGGGGGTAAATTTTGCAGCTTAGCTTTCCATTCATCTTGCAGAAGTTTGGTACATCCAAAGGCTCTCCCTCGTCTAACGCCAACGCTTGACACTCATGAGTTTAATCCCTCATCTTTGGGTAGAGCCTGGCACTCAGAATCGCTTTTTCTCTTCTCTTCCTGGAGCTTAGGACTCCCAAGCGCCTTCCCTCTCTGGTCATTGAGCTCCCGCCTGTATTCTATACCCAGGTCGTAACTCTCCTACACCCTGGATTTGACTTAGTGCATAGCAAAATTTGTCTTTCTAAATAAAGCTTCAGATTGATAAATCAAACTGTGTTGTCAGTTTGAGATCAATGATAAAAGTTACCACTGTGAAGCCACTGATTTTTTGATATGGTCTACCATGCTAAATTCTTGTACCAAATTCATTCAGTTTTCTTTCAAAATGTTCGCAAAGTTAAATTAAATAGTTAAATAAGGTAGCATGCAATGTTGAATGAAAATTTGCTCCTATGACCTGAATGATGAACATTCCTCTGTCGTTCTCTTCATTTATGGGCTAATAAATAATATAATTCTACCAGAGTATTTCAAAACAAATAAGCAAAAAAACGATATATCAAAAAAAATGCGAGGCTACAGACCTTACAAAAATATGTCTGAGCGCTCATATTTGACAGATTAAAAAATTACAACCGTCAAAAATAAATATGAGGAGAACCAATACCTATTAGAAATGCTCGTTTAGATAAGTAAAAATCAGGTTCTAGATGTTCATTCGTGGATAAGGACATGTAATAATCTTGGTTGCTTCAACAATATTAATGTAATAATCGGGTGCTGGCACTCCGTGATTGTAATCCAAGATTAAATCGAGAATCGAAATTGAGCTTTTTTTGTACACTTTATTGTCACAGCTAACAAACTCGATCGTGCACAGGTGCAATCCTCATACCCGTTTAGTAACAGAAAGTGCATCAATAAATTTTTTGTTAGTGATTGTTCCGCGAAAACATTTGGTCATGGAATTTAAACCGTATCTCTATCATTAAAACGATGTATTAATGTTCCTCGTGATGTTAATGTAATGTTGACATAATGTTGGTTATGATCAAAACGAAATGTTGGCTGAATTGAATGAGTCAATTCCAGCATGTAAGTGAGGATAAAATTAAAAGCTATGATTCGACAGGTTTTAATTAACTTCTGGAGTGCACGAAAGAGCGGAGCTGAGCTGCAACTATTCAGAACCACAATTATGAAACTTCAAGATCTTTTACTAATATATTTGTAGTACACATTATTTTCTATTGTAAAAAAAATATTCTATTTAGATGAATCATATATCCAAAGAAACTAAGTTTACAACGATTTTCATTCCATGAATATTTTGAGGTAAATTAGAGGCAAGTCGTCGAAGGCATTGAGAAACAACGAGGCCGCTGAAATGAATAATGATATTGAATTAACATCTGTTTAACCTATTCACCTGAAGTTTGGGCTTTTATCTTTCTGTTGGTTTCATAATCAGGAAATGCAATTCAATTAAGCATAATATGTCTCAATAATATTCTAAAATCCAGAAATACTAAATTTACACTAAATTCTTTGCAAGTTTTACAAAAATTTGAATAAGCCACAATTCACAAATATCTATTTTTCCGGACAAATGAATTGACTGACATGAAATAATTTGAATTCAGTAACGATAAAAGGCAAATTCAAACTTTTCATATGCGCACAAAGAGACAGCAGCGCGACCTCCACCATCACGTATGCTGAGCTGCATAGGCCTGGAGAACTTGTGTTGGGACCCCAAGTTTAGGCTTAATACAAACGTCTAATATTAATAAGGCCACGCAATGCCTCCTACGTCTTCATTAACATTGTCCTCGGTGTCACATTTAGCTAGATTCATCTCTTCAATACCACCTCAGCACTTGCATCTCCATTTTGATTATTTAACGCTTCTACCGCTGATTTACGATAGACTTTTTAATTCTTAAATTTCATTGAGTCGAATTCCAATGATGTTTTTTAGGGGACAAATTCAAGATTTATTCTCAACTGCAAAACATCACATTTCTGTTTAACGGATTTACTGTATTGACTGAAACGATACAATTTTTTCTTCAAGTCAACTGAACTATTGGAAATTAGGCTCAAATTCTTACTCACACTTTGGGTATATCAGTTTCTCACAGCAACTATCCGTTTTAATCTGTTTGTTTCTGCTTCCATGATACGCGCAATTCATCTTCAAGATCGCAGTTCACATTTTCTGCGACGTTTGTATTTTCTCCGATTGAATCAGTGGTTCGTGCACATTGTTGTCTTCGTTTGGAACCAGAGCTTACTGGAGCGGAAACAATTGTTCATTTTCATTCTTGAGTCTATGGTATTGCGCGAGGGTTTCGTTGTTAGCGTTTGTATTTTCTATTTCGATCTAATTATTCTCGGCAATTTGTTACTATTCCTATTATGAAGTACCAGGATCTCCACTGCGCTGCATCTCCACCTTGCTTCTGCACGTGGGGCAAGTTGACCTACTCTCAAACCACGGCAAGAGACAGCCTTCGTGAAATACGTGATTGCACGTGAGCTTCAGGACTTTGCAGTGGTCCAACATGTCTTCCAGGCAAACTGCGCATTTGCTTCCAACAAATTCACTTCCTTCACGAAGTTTAAACGCGATCAGCGAACTCAAAATATCTCGTGGAAGCGCACCGTCAGAGCTTGAAGACTGGCTTGTTTCGTCAACATTGTCAAAGAATATCGAAATGGGAGGAATAAGCAGCATTTCAGAAGGTAACAAATTCAGCGGGTTAGTTTCGATAGAATCCTCACTAAATTCATCGTCTTCAGAATAATTTCGAGGTTCAACTTTAATGCCATTATGAAAAGCCGGTTGTTTAAACTTTGATTTCAAAATCGACCTTCTTCTATCTGAGAAAGCTCGTGAGGTCTGATACCAGCATGAGGGTATAGCTAAGCATCTAGTGAATTTCCAAAGAAGTTATCGCATTGCATTATTCCTGCTAGTTCTGGAAAATAAAATTGAGGGCTTACTAAAGCGCTACTGCGTCGTACGGTTGTTTGAGGCGAAATATCAGTTAACGGCGTTGACATTGCTGGTAGTTAACATTTCGTAAGTATCTCTCAGTTGAAGCATCTTAAAGCTCGTTCACACCACACTCAGTTCCATAATTGCTATCAAAGTCAGCAACTTGCACATTTCCGACGACATCGTTGTCTACTCTGTCCCCAATCACTGGACACTGGACTCTGTCCCTGTTGTCTGTTGTTGTCGCCGATCACTGGATGGTGCCGACAGCTCCTACTGAACTCGTGATGGATGACCGGGAGTGTCGGGTTCGCTATCAACGAATGCTTGAAAGCTGATCGTAATTTCTTCGTCTTCATCTTATCCTCTTATAGTGAAGCTTCGATCGAATCCTGCCATCATGAAAGTCTAAAATAAATGCAGGAAGGAGGCAGACCCGAAATAATGCTGGGACATAAGCGGACATTGAAGTTTATTCCTCGCGTAAATTTGACATAAAGAAAGGTGAAACTCATGTAAATTGGTTATTATTATTGATATTATCATCAATTATAATTATTGATGCATGAAATTAAAAACGCTCTGGAGTGCGACTTAAATACTTCCGATAATACTAATGTCATAAATGTTATCCAGATTTTTTTATATATTTTCGTACAACACAAAGCCAAAGTAAGGATGCAGAGTTTGAAAATATTCATCCGTTGATCTATTGAGGGCGGCATCACTCGGCACTTATGTGAGCGAGATCTAGAATAATATTAATGCATAAATTTGTAAGAAATTTGCAGGAAAGCGCAAATCAATTTCGAACAATTTTTTTAAAAATTAAAAATTGCGAACACGCCATATGCGCTCAAGAGGCATATCAATATGCCTCTTAATTCCGTCTTAACCTCCGGGCTTTACTTATAAATAGAATTATTACAATTTTCATCTCTTATCTAAACAAACACGAATTAGTAATTCCTTCATACAAAATTTCATGATTTGGTTAACATAATCGAAATCCGTGCGATTCTTTGAAATTAGATTCTTTGTATTTAATGTCTACCTGGAAATCCGGTTTAGGCTTGCGACGAGCCTCGTGATGATCGAACTTCACAATTTGCTTGCAGGGAGGCAGTAAAAGCGTTGCGTAAAAATTCTGAACGCTTAACGTTTCAACGCCTCGAAACCTATGCGCAGATAGAGCCTATAAGGCGGCTGACCTGAGACTACTAATGAACACTTACAAAATATAAGGAGAGGCGAGAACTGACGCCATTTAAAAATTAGAGATAATCAAGTTTCGACTGACTGATGGCCAGTAAATGAATAAACAATATTGTTCGAGATTTATAAATTGAGCTTTTTCATTTCCTAGCTTTCATCACCTCACCTCACTATCATTGGCCGATAAATGTTAACCCGTAGTTTCAGACCGCTAGTTTGTTTTTTTAATTCAGAATCTATACTCATTTCCAAATATTTTTTTTATTCAAATAAGTCATGTTACTCTTTAGTACATTCGTAATAAGTTTATACATCTATATTGTTTCACATCTTACTCACATCAGTGCATATTGTTGTCACCCTCACAGCATATCTTCAAGCTCTTAATCCTCACCTTGGCTTTGTGTGATGTGACCGTGTTTCCAAAAAATTTACAAATATTCATTCTAATTAAAATTATACCTTTATATTCTTTGTTAGAATATGAGTCACAGTCCACGACTTTCAAATTTCATGCATCAATAATTTGTTGTAGATCACAGACAGACTATTTTTGATTCCATGTTGCATTTTAATCATTTCCTGTTGGTATCAAACTTACGCGAGGTGTAAACATTTAAGTCTACCTGCGTCTCTACATTATTTCGGGTCTGCCTCCTTCCAGAAATTATTTCAGAATTCCATGATGGCAGGATTCAATCGGAGCTTCACTATAAGAGGATAAGAAGAAGATGAAGAAATTAGGATCAGCTTTCAAGCATTCGTTGATAGCGAGCCCGCCACTCCTGATCGTCCGTCACGCGATCAGCAGGAACTATTGACTCCATCTGATGACTAGCAAGGAACTTCTGACAGAGCAGTCGACGATTTTATCGATCACCAACAAAATACTAACTTTGATACCTATAATGGAACTGAGCACAGTGGAAACGATATTTAAGATGCTTCAACCGAGGGGCCAGTTGGAAGTTCGGACGACCCAGCGACGTAAACACCTTAAACTGATCAGTTGCCTCCTACAACCGCACGACTCAGCATTCATTTAGGTCTTAGATATTTTTTACCAAGAGATGCAGACAATAGGGTAACCGATAACTTTCTTGGCACTTCACTAGATGCTTTAGCTCAACACCTTGCGCGTTCGATGTCCTTACAGCTTCCTCAAACAGAAGAAGATCCGTTGAGAGTTCAAAATGCCCCCAGTGTTGCGCTTCAAGATGACGGAGTTGATGTAGATAATTCTGAAGACGATGAATCTCTTGAGGATTCAGGAGACGTTGATGATGACGGAGTTGATATATTTGAGAATTTTGAAGACGATGAATCTCCTGAGGATTCAGGAGACGATTCTAGCGAGGATTTATTTTATATTAACGCGCTAGATTTGCTCTCTATTGAACTGCTGCTTCTTCCTGCCATCGGGACATTCACCGACTTCCTTGGCGAAACGAGCCAGTCTTCAAGTTCAGACGGTGCGCTACCACGAGATATTTTGAGTTCGTTGATTGCGTTTAAACTTGGTGAAGGAAGTGAATTTGTTGGAAGCAAATGCGCAGTTTGCCTGGAAGACATGTTGGACCGCTGCAAAGTACTAAAGCTCACGTGCAATCACGTATTTCACGAAGGCTGTCTCTTGCCGTGGTTTGCGATTAGGTCAACTTGCCCCGTGTGCAGAAGCAAGGTGGAGATGCAGCGCAGTGGAGATCCTGGTACTTCATTACAGGAATAGTCACAAACTGAAGAGATTAATGAAGAGGAAAACGTGGACTGCGGTATTGAAGATGAATTTCGTGTCTCGAAAAAGCGGAAACGTACAGATTGAAACGCGTTGTTGATGACTGAATCTGAAATACCCATAGCGTGAGCATAAATCTGAGCCAAATTAATTATCTGGTTGACTTCATAACAAGCAGTTTCGTATCAGTTAATCCGTTAGATCCGTTAAGCAGTTAATTAATGATAAATTTCTACACTAAAAAAATGATATTTTGTTTTTGTGAAGAAATCGTACATTTTTCCCAAAAGAAAAAAAAAGAAATTTAATTCCTTGAAAATAACCACACAATCCAACGTAAGTCAAAAGTGAAATCATAAAAAAGTTAAAAAAGAAATAGCAGAACTGAGGCGTTAATGAAGAGATAAAAATAACTAAAATGGGACAGCGAGGATAATGTGAAGACATTGGAGAGAGCGTGGACTTATTAATATTCAGCAAAATTATTGTGGCATTGTAAGTGCTATTATAAAGCCTAAATTTGGGGTCCTAAAACAAGTTGTCTAAACCTATGCATAATTGTCTACGTGAATATGAAAGTTGTGTTGTAGTCTCATTGTGCGTACGAGAAGTTTATAAGTGAAGTGCGCATGAGAAATGTTTTAATTTACTCTTAAAAGTTACTGATTTTATTCAATTTTATGTTCATTTCATTTGTTTGGAAAAATAAATTTTAATGTTATTTGCTTTAAAAATTCCTTATTTCGGATTCAATAAACTGGGTTTAATTTACAGAATTGGGCGTAATTCAAGAAATTAGGCGTAATTTCATGATTAGGCTAATTAGAGGAATTATTCGTAAAATTATAATATTCGAGCTTTTTTGAAATCCTGATGCTACATACCTGAATCAGAAATACAATGAGAAGATAAAAGATGAAACTTTTAATTGGACTGTAAAATTGATTTAAATAAAATGTTGATCTCACTTATAAATTTTCGCAGAACCTTTTTTGTGTTTAAGATTAGTAGTTTCACTTCAACGGCCTGGTCTAAGTGAATTTCAATCTCCAATTCCTTCGTTATTCGAGTGATTTTTTCTTTTGAAAAAACAATATCAATTCATAAACGAAATCAATGAGCACACTAAAACTGAAACTAAATAATACCATCGAAATTTACGATTTGGTTTCAAGATTTGGTTTTATTATTAGATCAGTGCATTTATATTTGACGTAGCAACTCTTTTCTGCCTTATTTGTAAAATTTAAACTTTACAGGACCGAATTTCTTTGAATTTACCCTCAATTACATCCTTTAATTGAATCGTTCAAATTGAAACACATTTAGGTTCGATCATAGCATCTACATGGCGTGAATATTCCGCTATTAATATATTACTTCCTGCTCTCAATGATTATTAAGCAATTTCAATTCTGATATAAAATATTTTCACAGAATAATTAACAACCAAAGCTCAAGAAAAGCAATTTTACTTATCAAAAATTGGGTAAAATTGCGCTCCTGAATCATTTAGCTTATAATTGCCTATTTGACGGTAGTAATTTTTCATAAGGTCAAAATTCTATATCCAATTATTTAGCGTAATTTTTTCGCATCTTGGGATCAGAATATCTTATTATTCTCTTTTAAGTTCATCGGTCGCATTTAATGATTATCCCAGCATACTTAATGGTGGAGAATATACCAGAGGCATGAATATTATTATACTCAATGCAAAATTCATGAAATATGTTCACGTGATGATTCATTATAAATCAGATTCATGCCTGGGAGCATGTCAAATCAGTATTATTGGTACAGTTGAATTTATTTAACTTGGCCTATTAATATATCATAATTTATCTTCGTGAAGCATCAATGGAGACGCAAAACTTTTCTAATTGGAGCGACGAATGAAAATTATTGGGGACGAGGATCGGGGGAAAGGAGAAATACGACCTGCGAATTAAGGATAGGCTGACACCGGGGAGATGTGGCACTTAAGAGAGCCACGCTCTGGCATGAGAGAAGAGATGGCACTCAATAGTGCCAAGCTTTGGTATGACGAATGGGTGGCTGAGATGCAAAATTTACCCTCGGTCATAAAAGTATGAAGCCAGGGAATCAACTCTGGTGACGTGAGTTCTGCAACCATGGTGTACTTCTTAGGAAATACATTTACCATGGCCTAAATTTTAATACAGGACAGTAACACCTGTTGGTATAACACTAGTGGGTGTAACACTCGCAGCTATAACATAACACTCATTGGTATACAAATCATGGTTGTAACTCTCGTGGCGACAACTATCATGAAAATAACGCTTAGGGAATTATTTTTGTTAAATTGTTTTTATTATTGTTATTAAACACTCTTAATTAGGTCTAACCCTCCTTATTATAATACTCGGGGATATTAAACCCGTTGGTAAGCTTGCTGACCCTCACTTGCCTTTCATAAGTAGCTTGCTTTTCGCTGTTATAAATCGGATATATAACTTGAGCTTAAGCTTGCGACGAGCTTCATGACGATCTAACTTCACAAGTTGCCTCGAAGAGGCGGCAAAGCGCAGAAATATTGCGTTGTGTAAAAAGTCCACGGGATGAACGCTTAACTTTTCAGTGCCTCGAAAAATATGCACAGATTAGAGCCTAAGGCGGCTGGCCTGAGACTACTAATGAGCACTTACAGAATATAATGAGAAGGCGAGAACTGACGGCAGTTGAAAATTGGCGTTGATCAAGTGTCGACCGTACTAAGGTGAGTTAATAAACTGTCAAAAGTGGCGAGATCGTTTGCATGAATTTAAATTATTGAACATATATCCTGTTCCCGCATTCTAGTCTGACAATATCAACCGATAATTTCAGCTGTTGACTTTTTTCATTTAAAATCGAAAAAACATTACAATTTATGGTTGTTTTGCTTTGTCATATTAATAATTTACCACATATTTAGATTTTTACAAGCGCAGCATCCGCAACTTGACTACTTAAACCTTAAATCTTTTTATAGATTCTCGCTTACTTGTTGCTCCGCATTTGACTAACATCAGTTTAGACTTAAATCATCATTCAGATTCATTTGCTATATAGTAACCACATACTTAACCATTGCATTTTTTAAATAGAAAAATAATGCAATTTAATTTTCATTTCTCGTAATCCTTACGAGCCTATGATATCCTATAATTCCGTGTTACCTATTTAATTAAAAGATATCAGTTACTATTGAATTATACTTTGAAAATACGCCAACGCTCTCTAGCGTCATTTAACGAAAACTTATGGCGGGACAATTAGAAATGTAGTCTCATTCAATTATATTATATTTAATATATCCGTGCGTGTAGAAAATCAAAACCGTGGGCGGTTTTGACGCTGCGCAAAATCCCGCCAACTTTCGCTCAATGAAAACAGCCGATGGATAGTAGGGTGGATGACGTCAGGGTTGAAGTTTCCCGCGTCACCTTGCAAACAAAAATATAATCAATTAGGCACTTACGATGATAATAATCATTGTGGACGTGCAATATCGGGGCATAGTTAACACGCGTAAAAATTTATTAAATTAATCGTTTCGTCAAATATACCAATCTGTTCAATCATTTTTTAAAATCAGTTATATCAAATTCTTCGGCTCAAATTCAAGGCCATGAAGCGGCTAATGATCCCTAGACCCAAACACCATCCTCGACAATAAATTGCGCATTTAAGTTGCCGGACTTACAGTGTATGGTCAGTGGGACAAGCTCAGATGGTTGGTAGCACAGTAGGCTCAGGGTGCAGGGCGTAGAAGTCACCGATCCCGAACCGGCGGGTGTAGAGGAGACTTAGAGGCTCATCATGACTCCGCGGAGGCAGCCAGAGTTTAACAATTGAACACTTGACCAGAAGTTGTGTGTTCCGAAGCCATCCGGCTCCCGTGCACCGTGATCAGTCCAGTCTTATCGCCGACCTCTTCTCTGGGCTCTTAAACGATGAAAAATCCCCCTCCTATTGCCTCGACAGCGTTGTCATCGCAGCCTAGGCCCTACTTTTTCTTCATTAGAATTTAATAAGAAGCACGGACAACAAATGATATGAACAATTTAAAGGCAAGTAGGTGTTTGGGTCGTATGGACTATAGTTGAGTTCAAGGCTGCCTAGCAGTTATACTAAAAATTACATTCCAATTGGAGTAAGTTCTCTTATGCCGCTCATTTAGTCTTCTTCAAATACCACATTATTTGGCATCATTAAACGAGTTAAGTGGCAAATAGACATGAAATGCAAGTCTTCTTAGCCTCAAAGGCTGCATTTTATTCGGTTTATCTTTCTAATTTGCAGGAAAGAGATAATTATTTGGACGCATTAGTGGCATTAAGAAAGTTACGACTAATTTTAGTTGTCCGAGGCAGACTTATTATCTAATTAGGGACTGGCTTTGATGATTAATTGAGAGTTTACTCACGCCCTTCAACGCGTCGCTTTGATCAGGAATCAAAAGAATCACGTAATCATGAAATGACAGTGAAACTGTATTGCGTTGATGCATTAATCATTGTTTCCGAGAAAATCCCTTTCAGTAAGAAAATAATGAGAGGGTACTGAAGAGGTATCTAAATATTGGGAGTAATATCCGTAGATTTAAGTGCGAATGATATTCCGAGAGACCTAAAGTATCAATCACTAGAACTAGAGGTTGAATAACTTCCAAAATCTCACCTATAACTCGCAAATTAATTAACAATGCTTAGGAGAACAGTCAGATGAAAATTAATTTCAGCCAACCGGCCTGCGTTTAAAGTTTGCTATATGCCTAAGGTAGCTATTCAGATTACTAAGCCCAATTATGTTGCGTTAAACTCTCTCATACGCCGGAGTGAGCTCATATCTTCAATTTTGACCACAGAAAACGGAAGAATTCCAGAGAAAATTAATTCGACCGAGGACTGAATGAAACTTGTTATGAATGAAGAGCGCTTTAAAGATGCCCTGTCCTTCAGCTGTACGGGTAGTTAATATTCATGGTATTGATTGACATCAAATAGACCCTTTTAACTCTATTATTCCATTTCTACTAACTCATGAATGCACTTAAGTACTTGAAAATTGTGAAGAATATTAAAGAAAATCACTGGTGTCACGCATCATCTCCTTGTATGATATATAGAAACGATTTTTCTTTCTTTCAAACGAGCTTATGAAAAGTTTTGAAAAACACAGCTTGGTACGATCAGTGATATAAAATTTATGATGTGCCTCTATCCTCATAATTTATAAAAGAAACCAGCAATTTAAGTTATAATCTTTTATTCTTATAACATTAGTTCAATGGCCAAAATTATAAAGAAATAGAGGAGAAAGTTAATGAAGTTAAATAAACCTCAAGCTATGCAAATGTAAATAAACAAAGACTTTTTATGCAATTTTTGCATAACGAGGTAGACAACGAGATGAATAAGAAGCACTGCGCGAAAAACAGCAGGCTAATATTTTAAACAAAGTTAGTTAACAACAACAAAAAAAAAGTTAGTTAACAGCAACGACTAAAAAAGTTAGTTGACAACGACTAACAAAGTTAGTTAACAACAACGACTAACAAAGTTAGTTAACAACAACGACTAACAAAGTTAGTTGACAACAAC